GTAGTCACACACAATCATCTTACAGGTAGTCAAACACAATCATCTTACAGGCAAACACACACAATTATTTTACAGGTAGTCACACACAATCATCTTACACGGGGTCACACATAATCATCTTACAGGTGGTCGCACACAATCATCTTACAGGTAGACACACACACTCATATTACAGGCAGACACACACAATCATTTTACAGACAGATACACACAATCATCTTACATGTACGCACACTTAATCATCTTACAGGTAGTCATACACACTCATCTTACAGGCAGACACACACAATCATCTTAAAGGCAGACACACACAATCATCTTACAGGTATACACACACATAATCATCTTACAGGCAGACACACAAGATCATTTTACAGTTAGACACACATAATCAACTTACAGGTAGACACACATAATCATCTTACAGGTAGAGAAACACAATAATCTTACAGGTAGACACAAACATCTTACAGGTAGTCACACACAATCATCTTACACGGGGTCACACATAATCATCTTACAGGTAGTCACACACAGTCATCTTACAGGTAGTCACACACAATCATCTTACAGGCAGACATACACACACACAATCATTTTACAGTTAGACACACATAATCATCTTACAGGTAGACACACATAATCATCTTACAGGCAGACACACAAGATCATTTTACAGGTAGACACACATAATCATCTTACAGGTAGAGAAACACAATAATCTTACAGGTAGACACAATCATCTTACAGGTAGTCACACATAATCATCCCAAAGGTAGTCAAACACAATCATATTACAGGTAGTCACACACAATCATCTTACAGGCAGACATACACAATCATCTTACATGTAGACACACACATTCATCTTACAGGTAGACACACACAATCATCTTAGAAGTAGTCACATACAATCATTTTACAAGTGGTCACAAAAAATTATCTAACAGGTAGACACACACAATCATCTTACAGGTAGACACACACAATCATCTTACAGGTAGTCAGACACAATCATCTCACAGGTAGTCACACACAATCATCTTACACGGGGTCACACATAATCATCTTACAGGTGGTCGCACACAATCATCTTACAGGTAGACACACACAATCATCTTAAAGGCAGACACACACAATCATCTTAAAGGCAGACACACACAATCATCTTAAAGGTAGACATACAGAATGATCTTACAGGTCGACACACATAACCATCTTACAGGTAGACACACATCTTAGAAGTAGTCACATACAATCATTTTACAAGTGGTCACAAAAAATTATCTAACAGGTAGACACACACAATCATTTTACAGGCAGACACACACAATCATCTTAAAGGTAGACATACAGAATGATCTTACAGGTAGACACACATCATCACCTTACATGTACTCACACTAAATTGTCTTACAGGTAGACACACACAAACATCTTACAGGTAGTCAGACACAATCATCTCCCAGGTAGTCACACACAATCATTTTACAGGCAGACACACACAATCATCTTAAAGGCAGACACACACAATCATCTTAAGGTGGACACACATAATCATTTTACAGGTAGAGAAACACAATCATTTTACAGGTAGTCACACAATCATCTTAGAGGGAGACACACACAATCATCTTAAGGTGGACACACATAATCATTTTACAGGTAGAGAAACACAATCATCTTACAGGGAGACACACACAATCATCTTAAGGTGGACACACATAATCATTTTACAGGTAGAGAAACACAATCATCTTACAGGCAGACACCCACAATCATTTTAAAGGTAGACACACACAATCATCTTCAAGGTAGACATTCAGAATGATCTTACAGGTAGACACACACAAACATCTTACAGGCAGACACACACACTCATCTCACAGGTAGAACAATCTTTTTACAAGTGGTCACAAAAAATTATCTAACAGGTAGACACACACAATCAGCTTACAGGTAGACACACACAATCAGCTTACAGGTAGTCAGACACAATCATCTCACAGTTAGTCACACACAATCATTTTACAGGTAGTCACACAATCATCTTAGAGGGAGACACACACAATCATCTTAAAGGTAGACATACAGAATGATCTTACAGGCAGACACACACAATCATCTTAAGGTGGACACACATAATCATTTTACAGGTAGAGAAACACAATCATCTTACAGGTAGTTAGCCACAATCATCTAACAGGTAGATACACACAATCATCTTACAGGCAGACACACCACACACAATCATCTTACAGGCAAACATACACAATCATCTTACAGGTAGATACACATAACTATCTTACAGGTAGACATAGACACACACAATCATCTTAGAAGTAGTCACATACAATCTTTTTACAAGTGGTCACAAAAAATTATCTAACAGGTAGACACACACAATCAGCTTACAGGTAGACACACACAAACATCTTACAGGCAGACACACATACTCATCTCACAGGTAGACACACACAATCAGCTTACAGGTAGACACACACAATCATCTTCAAGGTAGACATACAGAATGATCTTACAGGCAGACACACACACTCAACTCACAGGTAGACACACACAATCATCTTAAGGTAGACACACATAATCATTTTACAGGTAGAGAAACACAATCATCTTACAGGTAGATACACACAATCATCTTACAGGCAGACACACACAATCATCTCAAAGGGAGTTAGACACACAATCATCTTACAGGTTGACATACACAATGATCTTACAAGTAGACACACAAAATCATCTTACAGGCAGACACACACAATAATCTTACAGGCAGACACACACAATCATCTTACAGGTAGACACACACATTCATCTTACAGGCAGACACACACACACTCATCTCACAGGTAGACACACACAATCATCTTAAAGGTAGACATACAGAATGATCTTACAGGTAGACACACACAATCATTTTACAGGCAGACACACACAATCATCTTACAGGCAGACACACACAATCATCTTACATGCAGAAACACATAATCATCTTACAGGCAGACACACACAATCATCTTACAGGTAGACATACACAATCATCTTACAGGTAGACACACATGACCATCTTACAGGCAGACACACATACTCATCTTACAGGTAGACACACACAATCATCTTACAGGCAGACACACACACTCATCTCACAGGTAGACACACACAATCATCTTAAAGGTAGACATACAGAATGATCTTACAGGTAGACACACATAACCATCTTACAGGCAGACACACATAATCATCTTACAGGTAGATACACATAACTATCTTACAGGTAGACATACACAATCATCTTACAGGTAGACACACACAATCATCTCACAGGCAGTCACACACAGACATCTTGCAAGTAGTTATATACAATCATTTTACAAGTAGTTGTAGACAATAATTTAACAGGAAGCCATAAACAAAACAATATTATATCTATAACAGTGTTCCACGATAGTCAAATCTACAAGAGTGAGGAACCTGAATTTGAAAATGAACATGTCGTTATGTGTTGTTATAAAATAAATGGTTAGAAAATATTAAGTGAGCATACATTTACGATGCTTTATCTACTGTCTAGCTCTAAGGAATCCGGCTTGAAAAATATAACAATGTGGGATTCGGATGCATGATTACAGATTTAGATTACGTTTGATCACGAGACCTGGCGTATCATAGACATGGATTTATTTTAACACGTTTATGTGTTTAAAGCTGCTATAATGTTACTTCGCCTGAATCACCTTGGTGACTGCGTCAACAACCTTAAAACCATTGTAGCGTAAGGGCCGATCAAACCTAACCGATTTGGGTCGCCGGAGCTGTACCGGAGCACACATTTGGCGAATTTTGGAGATCGGTACAAGGCTAAGAACGGTATTACATCGTCAGGACATCGTTAGAACATCGACGAAAAAATTATCAACGGCAGGCGACGGTAGAAATGGTTGAACATGCTCAAAAATGTTCCGCTGTTGCGCTGCCGAAGCAAGCAATGGGACTACACAGCGGCAGTACAGCGGCAATACTAGTACTCCGGTATGGCTTCTACGTAGCGCCCCGTAATGGATCGGCGGCTCTCCGGTGGCCTCATTGTGTACTGTACTGGTACCAATGTGATATCGTACACGTAGTACTACCGAATAACCCCGAAGTAGCACTGATCATGCCTCGGTATAACATCGGCGGCGCTTCGGTAACACTAAGGTGACAGAAAAGTGGTATCCGGAAGTACATCGGTAGCACAAAGGTAAAACAACGGTATCACAACGGGAACGCAAGTACTACATCGCGATATTGCTACGGTCAATTTTTCAAGTGCTTTCTCGCCGAAGCTCTGCCGTTGTTAAATAGAAAACAGAGACTTATGTGGAGTTCATGATTAAAACCTGTAAATAATGGAAAAATACAAATGTATATATACTTCCGAACGTGTATTGTTTGTTTCACGACAAGGACGTGTTCTCTTAATGCGTCCAAGTAGTGTTGATTGTTTCGTTGATAGGATTCATACACTCATAACTACAGGTGACAGAACTGAAACCTTGTCGAGGAAAAGCCTGAAACAAAACGCAAAATCCTGTCTATTTTGTCATTTATTCTTTAGGCTAGATTAGTCGTCAACTTGACAAAAACGTCATCCGGGTCCCAACACAAACACAAACGTTTGAGTGGAATCATTTTGGATTTTCGTATGTGTCAAGTATAATCTGTTAAGGTAGAGACATTACATATGCATCGTGTTTGTAAAATATAATATGTCTCAGTAATCATATCACCAAACGACTCTATTCTGATTCAATATCTTTTGCGTATGTGTTGACATTATTATAAGTAATGTATAAAATGCCTTTTTGTTATATGTTTGTCTGTTTCACGGTCCGTCCTAATTATGATGTAGGACCTCCATACTCCGTGTTTAACCTCACAAGACCTGTATAGGTATAGGAAGTAAGCAGTACAAATGGGCGACGTGTTGATAAACTCACCTTGTATATTACGTATCCTGTCGATCTCCTACACACCGCAGAGTCTGTTAAATCTATTCACTTCCACCTATGTACACTTAAAGTTCGAGTCACGTGACGGGTGAGTAGATTCAATGGACTTGGTAAAATACATGATACATCATGCGTGACGTTTTTGTTATTCCCTATAGGAAGCTGCTGATTCTATTGACTGAGGACTGACACTAATGTTTAAGTTAACAACTGTCACAAAGCTCAAAAATGAATCAAGTAGGCTTTAGCAAACCAAACATTTATAGCGACGACTTAATTGGCTAAAGAACAAATAAAATATGTTGGCAAACTTAAATTCTACTTCGGCGTTATATTCACTTCTACAATCTTTTAAGTATAAGTCTATGTTGGACTAAGAATCTGAACCATATTCAGTTTGTACACGTATTTATCTATATCAAATGACACTGAAGGGTGTAACGGTTTTAGTTCAGAGTAACGAAGCACCTTTCATGTTGTGTGCCAGCCAACGAGTCCATACCACCCTGTCTATTTGCAGTAGATAGTATTAGTTCTCTCTGGGTTAGGAGGGGTCTACGGGCTCATAGACTCCGTCTTGTCTATACAAACCAAAGAGGTCTATGAGCCAGTAGCCCCCTCCTAACCAAACGATAACGAATTTGTCACTCTTTTATATCTTTTTTTTTGTCCTGCAAAATTATAAGTCACTTTGTCTTTGTGAGTTTGAGTTGTAATTGCCTGCTACCAAAATAGCCCTACCAAATATATTTTCGGCAATATTTCGGACAATACACAACCATCTTTGCAATAAGCAGCCTATCGGCCCCCTCATTGCCTGTTTCGTTGAATTTGCTATCGTTTTATATTGCGTGTAGGTTATTTCACCCGTGAATGATTTGCAAACCTCGAACGCTTGTGTGTGTCGAACGCCATCTTTGTTGTTATGAAGAGAGATATAGACCCCGGCAAGATATCCAATCAGGAAGAGTGTTACAAATTAGAAGGATGACAAACAAGAAGGCGATATTGTAGTTTTGTAGACTTTTGCAATCCTTCGACTTTGATGTTCTGATAAACCTGTGGTATTATTTGTCTTATTTAAGCGTGCTGGCAAACCATTTTCAATAATTAAATCGCATTACAAATTGGGAAAATCTTGCTTCGATGACAATAGCAATTACTTAGATTTACATAGAAATTATTCTTGGGAGTTGTTTAAATTAATGATTTTGAGACATGTTTTATTGAAAACCGTTGTACTTATTATAATTTTGGAGAGATAAGTGTGTTTCTAGTTTGGTACGCCGATAGTTTAATTTTCTTTTCTGAAACAATTGAAGGCCTACATTGTTATTTGGTGTTCAGAAATATATGCTGACATGTGGAATTTAAGTGTAATTTTATCAGCAAAAAGCATCTTAATCCGTGTCTGCTACAACAACTTCGTTTCTCCTTCCAAAACTCTGCAATACCTCCTCTGGTGCATTTCGCAGACGTTGTGTGCACGATAGTTAGGGAAAACCTAGCAACGCTTTCAATATCTGCCTTTTTCAAGACGGAATACTAGGTATAGTCATAAGTTTTCCGAATATCGAATAACGATAAGGATATATATACACAGATCAGCCTCGTTTGTACAGTTGTGTGATTGCATAAGGCATCACAATTACCGTGTGCATATCGCGCACACACCGTCCGCACACGGTCTACACATCGTCTGTACACCGTCCGTACACCATCCGCACATCGTCCGTACACCGTCCGTACACCGTCCGCACACCGTCCGTACATCGTCAGCCCATGACACCTGGGCGAATAACCATCAATCGTCCCGTTTTGCGATAAAACGCGCACACATGTGGCGATACGGTACATCACTGCATGAGAATAGTGAATGGCAAAACACAATGATTAATCTGATGGTTGTATGATATTCTATATTGAAAGGGGGTCCAGTCTCATATAGACTAGATATTTTAACTGAATACACGAGTTTTAAAAGGCCGTCGTTTTTACCACCCGATTGTCAATAGCGACTGACGCGTGGCAATCGCTAAACATTAACACTCCGGGCATTTTCTCTGTGAAATGGTTACTCATGGGCGTAAGGTTCCGGATTTATCCATCATTTCCAGCTGCTTTGTACCGTTATAATCAGAAGTTTATTTTATTACTTTTATTCTGTATTTTCGTGTACATTACAAAAAAATATGCTAGCTTATTATTTTCAGTTTTTATTTTATTGCATCGCCGCATGAGTCGATTAAATGCAGTTTTGAACGGTAATTGTAATGGTAATATGGTGTCTAATAAATATAAATAATGAATTTAAGTACTTAGTAAATAATTACACATATAGGAGATGAATACATTAATATGTATATTTAACTGTTCATGATTTATGTTAGATAGCGACCGGTTCAGGATCGCAAGTCCAGTAATATACAACATGGCAGTGCATAATTACTTTCGCTTTGCTGGAAAGTCTTGTTCAACCAGACGCTTGATCACTTCTAGACATGTTCGGCGTAGATTGCGCAGACGACAATAGTTTGGTTGAACGGGACTATTTGCTGGAGTGAGACGAAGTACCTGGTGGTGTATTAGTATTATAATCAAGTGTAGTGTAAAGTAGCATTCGACTACAGGAGGTATGATGAATTAACACCAAACTTTCACAACACAAGCATTTTTCTACCTGTTTGAATTTTTTTATTCTTTGAGAGAATTTTATACATGTCTTTTATTCTTTTAGTGTTTTTGATAAATAATTATATGTTTAGCGGAATAAAAGGGAGAAGAAGATATGTATCCTGAATCCTGTGTATTTCGATATTCGTTCTTATAGTATTAATTATATATTGAAATTTAAGAAAGTCTGTTAATATATTATATTACCTTGTGAGTTCCTGATAAGAAAAGAAAGTGAGAGAGCTAACATCTTTAAACATGTCATTTACTACTCTTACACGTTTAGAATACCAGTCTTTATAAAGAATAGAATGTCCACCAATGGCCAGTTGTGGGTTGTACCATAGCGGGGTTTTCAGGAGTGAAAGTTGTTTTCTATGATTCACCTTCATAACATCAGAATGAATCAATCTTTTCCAAGCTTTAATCACATCTGACCAAAAACTATTTTTACAACTATTTTGACATTTATATATGTAATCACTCCACAGTTCATAATAAGATCTGTGTTGAAAAGAATCTTGAATATAACTTGCCACTTACTAGAACTGTGAACAAATCTTCTGGGCCATCCTAATTTTAGAGCATCTATTAAATATTGAGTGCTAATCATTTTTAACCCCCTTAGTAATTATATTCCTCTTTACTCTTTACTTTATCTGTTTTGCTATTCCATAAAAGGTTGAATAAAATAGTGTTGAGTTTAGTAATAAAGGCACCACTTGGATTTGGCAATGTGATGAATAAGTGATTAAACTGTGAAATTAAAAGAGATTTCATCATATGAATTTTACCAATGATTTAAGCTTTTTTTTTTTATCAAAGTTTAATTTAAGTATTTCATGCAACTTTGCACTAAATGCTATCCCCAAAAATGTTATGTCTAAAAAACATCAATTATGTCCAAATTTTGAAACATAATACGCCTTTCATTGCCAAAAAGTTGACACTGAAGGAAAAAGTAAAAGGCATTCTCACATGAAGGTTCAAATATGCAAGCTGGACTTTCGACAAGATTCACTCTACAAAGGTCACATTTAAGAGAACTACGTATACACTGGTGTTTCAGTTAAGTGTGTTTAATGTTCAACTTTCGCTCTCCAACATTGAAGTAGATAGGACGGGATGGTTGCACAAATTTATGGAAGGCAACGATCGTAGGTTTAAAGGAGAGATTTGTAAGAGATAGTCCAAATAGAGGACCGGTTATTTTCCGCGAAAGTAGGTGACAGGAGACTGTTGAAATAATCCGAAGCTTTTTGTTGTACATTTTATATAAAAGTTGGAGTTTTCTACTTTTTCGAAGATTTGTAAGAGTTTCTAAACCTGTTTCAAAATGTAAATCTTCGATACGAGTACATAAAGGAAGGCCTGTTATAATACGAACAGCCTCTCTGTGGGCTTTCTCTACCTTTTCTGATTCGAATTTCGTACAAACATCCCATAATTGACCCCAAAAAAATATCTGAAAAGGAAATAAAGACATTTTGAGACATACTGCAATCGAACTAAGATAGAAATATTAAATATTTCTGCTTTAATTTCTTTCCATGGTCCGCGAGGATGTACTGTTATAAACTGTGAGCATGCCAAATAAAATCTTAGGAAATGACGATATTCAATGGTTTTCTTTTTCACATTTAATCTAAGTCAAATTTCCCTAACGCAGATTAAATGAACAGTAAAACGTCATAATACCATCCAGGCACAGCGTAAATGGTACAAATGAATACTGATATTATTAGATTCAGAGACTGATACATAACCTCTAGATCTACATAAACATGTCAGGCTATGGTCAGAATAGTCGTCGGAGCTTACCGCAAAGGGGACTTGAAACAGTGTTTGTTAACTTGTCAAATGCTGATTTCATGTATTGACAGGTGAAAACGATAGATTAGTGGATTTGATTGATTGAAATAAAGATCTAGCAAAATGCATGACGTCAGTGGTTTATTGTTTATCGTCTGTCGACAGAATGGCGACTGAAAATGAAAACAATTCTTCGCAAATATATCCTTGTTAAAAAGACAAAATAGGATAACTGCCCAAAGGGTCAGAAATGATAAAACGGCACAGTTTGTTGTAAAATAAAGACATAAAGGTAGCATATGACAAATTTTAGCGCACGCAAAAGAACAGCATAGTTTAAATAATAAGATGATTTAAGTCATCTTTCTTATCAAAGGCTGATACACACTGATGTAAACAAGAAAAGACGTTTGTTACATTTCACTTGGTAGAATAGATATAATCAATATATGTCTGTATATTATAGTTGAATATATAATTCGGGATTCAAAACGGTTGGAAAAACAATCAAATCAGACTGCAAACCTATATACAAATATTTAGTCGATGAACTTGTCCTACAATATTGTTTAGCATAATTTAAACCAAAACAATCGGATT